GGGGGGGGGGGTTCCCAAGGAGAGGAAGGTGTAGAATCTCAGGATAGGAGAATAGGAGGGGGAATGATGCCATCTGGCCCTCCATCCAAAAGCTTGTCTTTGTCATTCCTTGTCACTTGACTTCCCCGAGGTTAGTCACACTCTGTGTTCCCAGAGTGGGTTCTCTCTGGCTGTGGGATACCAAAGCTTCCTCCCCAATGCCAGCTCACAATCTCATTGCAGACGCCCCCAAAGTCCCAGTCATCAGCATTTCCAGCGACAAGGAATCAGGTACTGGGGGCCTGCGGGGTGGGACAGGGCTGGGCCGGTCCTCTCTGGGGATGAAAAGCTGTCAGGAGTGTGGGGAAAACAGTGTTCCTCCCTCCCCCTTTTTCTCTCCCCCCCTCTCCGCAGTCCTGGAGCTCCAGGGAGACAGCCCATCTTGGCAAGCCCAGAAAGGCCAATTCCTGAGGTTGCTCTGTGCTGCTGACAGCAGGCCCCCTGCCACCCTGATCTGGGCCCTGGAGGACAGAGCCCTTTCTCAGTCCCACCCCTCCGGCTCCGGAGGCCTGGAGCTGGTACTGCCTGGGGTGCAGCCTGGGGACGCAGGGCGCTACTCCTGCAGAGCGGAGAACAGGCTGGGCTTCCAGAGCCGCACCCTGAAGCTCTCGGTCAACTGTGAGTGTGACAAGCGGGGCCTGGTTTCCAGGAGGCAAGAGGGTGAGGGGGCAGGGACTGCGGACACGGTCCCAGAGTTCTAGGAACCCAGGCCTATGGGACTAATGATTCTGGTTTCAATTCTAATGCAGGTATTTCTCTCCCCACCACCAAGCAATTCTCTGACACCAGCTGGGTGTCCTACAGTTGAACTCAATTCTGACACTAAGTGCCCGGAAATACAGATCCCACAGGTTAAGGGCTCAGTCCCACAAGACTGCCCACTTCAGACGCCCATAGCAAGTGCAGGTTGTCACCTGTGCTTCTGCCCATAGGGTAGAGGCTACAGGTGGAGTCCCATGACCCCTCCTCAGGTTCGACTAACTTGCTAGATAGAGCAGCTCCCAGAGCTCAGAGAGACGTATCACTTACTAGATTACCAGTTAGTCATGAAAGGATCTGACTCAGGAACAGTCAGATGGAAGGGATGGGTAAGGCCAGGTATGGGGAAGGGCTTGGAGCTTCCATGCCCTCTCCAGGTGCCACTCTCCCCAAATCTCCAGATGTTCACCAACCCTGAAGATGCCCTCTCAACGCCCTCTTTTCGGGTTCTTATGGAGGCTTCATTACATAGGCATGATTTCCTAAGTCCTTGGCCATTGGTGACTGAACTCAATCTCCAGTCCCTGCACCCTTTGGGAAGTCGGGGAGGGGACTGAAAATCCCAACCCTCCAACCCTCCAATTCCCTGATGGTTTCCTTGGCAACCAGCCCCCATCTGTAGGTGCTTTCCGAAAGTCACCTCATTAACCTAAACTCAGGTGTAGTGGCAAAGGGTTTGTTATGAATATCAAGGCTCCTTTATCACTCTCATCACTTAGAAACCCCAAGGCTTTCAGGGGCTCTGTGTCAGGAAAGGGGACCCAGACCACATATATATCTATATGCATATATGTGTATCTATATCTATATATCATCTGTATCTGTATATCTCTATGTATCTATGTCGTCTATCTCTGTATCTCTATGTCTATCTTTCTCTCTATCTGTACCTATACATATATATACTATAAATCACTGTATCACAGGAACCAGCCCCTCTTACCTATCTACTTCCTTGAGTAGTTTGTGTCAGTGGGTGATATAATCCTCCCCCCACGCCTGCCACTGTCCTTTGTCCCCAGGGACCCTTTGCCCAGAGTGAGGCCCCTGGCCTGTCTGGAGCTGGTGCTGTGTCTCTTTTTCAGATGCCCCTGAGAACCTGACAGTGACGGTGTCTGGAGCAAATGGGACAGGTAGGAAAGGGGGGCAGAGGCGCCTGGGCCTCTCTGCCTGACTGGGGCCTGGGCGTCTGGAATGTGCCCATGGGCGAGGGTCCCGGTGCCCTCAACTACGTGTACTCCCTGCCTCTTCCCTCCCCTAGTCCTGGAAAACCTCAGGAATGGCGCGATCCTCCCCGTCCTGGAGGGCCAAAGCCTGCGTCTGCTCTGTGTCACCCACAGCAACCCCCCAGCCTTGCTGAGCTGGGCCCGGGGGGGACAGCTTTGGAGCCCTTCCCATCCCTCAGGCCCTGGGGTCCTTGAGCTGCCTCGGATACAATTGGAGCATGAAGGAGAATACATCTGCAACGCTCAGAACCTGCTGGGCTCCCTCAGCGTCTCCCTGAACCTCTCTGTGCACTGTGAGTGGAGGGACGGGGGCACCTGCGGGCAGGACGCCTGGGTCCTGGCAGGGCAGAGGCACCGATGACCCTTCTCCTCTCTCCCCACAGACCCCCCGCGGCTGCTGGGACCCTCCTGCTCCTGGGAGGACCAGGGTCTGACCTGCAGCTGCTCCTCCCGAGCCCAGCCGGCCCCCTCCCTGCGCTGGCGGCTGGGGGAGGAGCCGCTGGGGGGGAACCGCAGCGCGGCCTCCTACTCGGTCACCTCGGCGGGGCCCTGGACCAACAGCTCCCTGAGCCTCAGCGGGGGGCTCAGCGCCGGCCTCAGGCTCAGCTGCGAGGCCAGGAGTGTCCACGGGGCCCAGAGCGCCGCTGTGCTGCTGCGGCCAGGTCGGGGGCCTGCTGGATGCCCGCGGAGGCCTGGCCTGAGCGGGGCAAGGGCGGGGTCCTGCGGTCGGAGCTGGAGCTGGAGTGGGAGGGCCCCCTGCCCCTGCGGCTGGGGCTTAGCGGGGGAACGTGCCCAGCCCGGGCGGGGCTGCAGCGGGGTTTCAGAGAACCAGACCTTGAGGGGTTGCGGGCGAGGCGCCGGGAACGGGCGCTGGAAGCCCGGGCGCCCGGTCCATGGAGAGGCTCAGGGGCGCTGACTGGTTCCAGGTGCGGGGAAGACAGGGCTCACCTCGAAAGGATTCTCTGCCGGAGCACTTCTGGGCGCTGGCGTCGCCGCCCTGGTCCTCTGCCTCGTCCTGTTCGCGTGAGTGAGGGGCAGGGGCGAGGGGCCGGGCGGGGAGGCGCCGGGGCGCACACCCACGCGGGTCCTTCCCTCAGCGTGAAGGCTCTGCGGGAGGCTCGGACGCACGCGGAGGCTGGGGCCCAGGCAGAGGCTCAGGCTGGGACAGAGACCGGGAGGGCCAGGGTCACCCGGAGGAGCACCATCCTGGATTACGTGAACGTGGTCCCCGCCGCGCGTGGCCTGGTGAGTGGCCTGGATGCGCGCGCTCTGTCCCTTTCTCGCCCTGTCCCCGCCCTTCGCCTGAGGGACCTCACGGTTGTTGGATTCAAATCCTGACCCTGGCACTTACCGTCTGCGAGACCTTGGCCAGAATCGCGGCGGGCTCCCTCTGAATTGGTTGGNACCAGAATCGCGGGCTCCCTCTGAATTGGTTGGGGGAGTAAAAGGCACGCCCTTGCTCGGGATGCAGCAGCTAGGCCGGATCACCACCACCAAGGACGTTATTAATTATAATTAATGATGGAACCGTTATTGGCATCGTGGAGAGGCAGTGTGTCCCGGTGGCTAACAGCAGGGCTGCCTGGGTTCAGACCCGCGTTCATCGCTGTGTGTCCTTGGGCAAGTCGCTTAACTTCTCTGGGCCTTTTCTTGAACTTTAAAATGAGGGAAAGAGTGGTACCTACCAGCTAGGATCATTCCAGATGTTTGGTAGGGTCCTATTGTACCTGTTAAACATGTAGAATAGTACCTGGCACTTAGAAAATGTAGGGCAAATGCCGGATATTTTCAGGAGAAAACATCTATACGCGGATGACCCGGAAATTCACATCTCTCAGACTCACCCCTGAACCCTACACTCTCATCCAACTGTCAGGGCAGCAGCTCCAAACTCAGCCTGTCCAAAGGCAAACTTATGAGTGACTACACCACTTCCATGTCTCCTCCATCACAGCAAAGAGCACGTTTCCCGAGCTGCTTGAGCCCAAAGCCTCAGTCCCCTGTCACGCGTCTCCTCTCTATCACCTCCCAGTCCATCCACTGGCGAATCCCCTCCAAGACACGTTCAAACCACTTCTCCTCCTGCTTCCCTCCTGGGCACCACCGCCACCTTCTGTGGGTCCTCTCTGCTCCCCACACCCCCAATCCATTTCTCTGTACATTGTATCCATTTAAAACCTGAACAGGGCCATCAACCCCCTCGAATACAATCAGAAGGAAGGAACAAATGAGTGACACTTGCTACCGGTTAAACAGAGCTTAGGGACCAATCTCCAATGGTCACACGTACATGCTTCCATGTATAGAACAGTCTTGAAATGACCAACTTGTAGAGCTGGAGAACAGATTAGTACCTGTGGGGGGTTAGGGCCAGGCCTCGGTGGGGTTAGAGCCGTTCTGTATCTTGATGATGGTTACAGGACTCGGCCTGTGTGAGTCTGCCGGGGTGGCCACAGCAAAGAGCCACAGACCCAGTCAGTGGCTTACTCAACAGCCATCTGTTTATTGTTTCTGTCCCAAGATGGGAGGTGAGCTCAGTGAGAAGGGAGACTTTATTTTACTTCCCGACGTAACCCCGGTTCCTCCATCAGTGCCTGCCGCACGGCACATGCCTGAGTGTTGGCTGAATCACGAGTGATGGTCGTTTTCCCCTTAGGCTGGGAATCGAAAGGCCAAACCCAGCAGCCCTTCCCGGGCCCCTCCAGCAGGTGCTAACTCCCCAGAACTCAAGTCGCCCCCTCCAGCCCCAGGGCCCAGGAACAGCCAAGAGGAGATTCACTATGCTGCTCTCAGCTTCCCACGCCTCCAGCCGCAGGAGACCCAGCAGCCCAACGACACCAGCTCGGAATATGCAATAATCAGGTTCCACTGAAGGTCCGCTGGGCTGTGGGTCGGGATCCAGGCTGGGGAGAAGGGCAGAGTCACTGAGCAAATGCAGAAAAGAGGGAAAAGCCTCTCTCTCTCCTCTTTTTACTCCTCCAAGGGTGGGTCATCCCATCCCAGACCTGGCATTCGCAACCGCTGGACGCCTCTCTCCAGAGCCACCTTCTCTGGGTCCATCATTCTGAGAACAGGGATAAACTTTTTGTTTCACAAACCCGGGCACCGCCCTAGCTGATGACTCAGCCTCACTTTTCCCCAAGGTGGGAGAACCTTTAAAAATGGTTCAGCAGTCGCCTCTGTGAAGTGCAGCACAGGAAATATAGTCAGTAGTATTGTAATAGCTATGGATGGGGCCAGGGTGGACTAGACTGATCGGGGGGATCACTTCATAAAGTATGTAAATGTCTGGTCACTATGTTGTACACCCCAAACAAATATAATATTGTATGCCAACTGTAATTGAAAAATAAATTTTAAAAAGGAGGCTATTTCATTGGAACGATGGACATCTTTATAAAATCCAGTCAATATTTTACATGGTCTTTCACTTACCGTGTCCTTTAAATATTTTTCTCTCTATAATGCTTTATAATCTTTTGTGTAGAAGACATACATATTTTCATTAGATTTCTCTCAAGGTATTTAATATTTTTTGGTTCTATTAAAAACGGCATATTTGGGAGATGAGGGCTGGGTGGAGGGGGCAAAGGTGGGGGAAGTGGGGACATCTGTAATAGTGTCAACAATAAAAAGAAAGGGAAAAGGGCATATTTCTTTCTCTGTCATTTTTTGGTTGCTTCTGATCTATGTAGAAATACATTGAATTTTGCATGTTAACCTTATATCTATCAACCTTGAGAAGTTTGCCTATTTTAAACTTCATCTGAAAATTATTTGGGGTTTTTCTATGCAAAAAACTTCTATCAGCTGATAATAAACATTTCCTCTTTTTCTCCAGAGGGAAATATAAATAAATAAATATTTAAAAGATGCTGAAGAGCAGGGCAAGATTTAGAACAGAAGGCAGACAATTTCAAAAGGCGACAACCTAGACGGAGAGGACGAAGCTGTGAATGGAGAGGTTAACGTTGTCTAAGCTGAAGCAGGGCTGTGTGGCAGATGCGCTGAAGTAATGATGTCCCGAGCGAGGGAATAAGAGAGGAAGTCCAGAGATTATACCCACTTGAGCTAAACCCTCTCAAATTCCAGAGCTATTTATTTGTGAAGATGTTTACAACACTGACTTACATGGAGCACTTACCCCAGGCACTGCTGTTTAACGCTTATATCACCCCACCTAATACTCATAGTAAGTTAAGGATGTCTTTGGCCAAAGACCACCTTGCCAAGCCCTAATTAACTAGGAGCCTTGATTTGGTAGTTACTGGGTAATTGAGGATATGGCGACGAGGCCTTTTCTGACATGTTGTGCTTCCCCATGTGCCAGCGCCTCTGGGTACTGAATAAAATGAAAAACTGGCCCTGGCCAGGTGGCTCAGCTGGTTGGAGCGCCGTCTGCTACACCAACAGGTTGCAGGTTCAATTCCCCGTCAGGGCACACACCTGGGTTGCGGGTTCAATCTCTGGTAGGGTCCAGATGGGAGGCAATCAATCGATGTTTGTCTCTCACATCGATGTTTCTCTCTCTCTCTCTCTAAAAATCAATAAAAACATATCCTTGGGTGAGAATTAAAAAACAAATTTAAAACTGAATGAGCTGCCAGGACTGAAGTTGGCCCTCAGAAGCCAGGACACACACAGTAATGGAATTACAGACTTGTGGATGGGGTCACCCAGTGCACCCACTTCCTTTCATAGATGGGCCCAAGGTCACACTGCAAAATAGCAGAATTGAGAACCAAACTCAGACAGATCCTAAAATAGATGAGCACTGCAGGTCCTGAGCTCTTTCTCATAAACTCAGAGCGGGGAGGGCGCTGGAGGAGCTTCTGCTTCCCTCCCTCGATCCCCACATCCTTCCAGGAGAGGAAGCCCTCCGCCTTTGTCTGACCTGGGAAATTGCAAGATTGTAAGTCTTTGTCGCTAGGGCAACAGGTTGACCAGGGGTCAGTAAATTTGCAGTGTGTGTGCTAAGGTCCTGACTTATGCAATAATGACTTGGGACTTGGAGGGAAGGAGGGGTGTCACCCAATTCTCGCAGTGTTGTGTAGATGAGAAAGACAAAAACAAACAAAAAACACCACCAGGCCCGGACTCAGAGGACCTAGCCTGGGCTTTCTGCATTGCCAGATACTCTGCATAACCAATTAATCAGAGACTATCAGCTCCAGGAAGTGTAAGTATAGAACAGTTCCATATTTCTGATCACTGACTCAGTTGTGTTCTGTTAAACTTTTTTTTTTTTTTTAGCCCCTAACAGCGTTTCTGACATTCTGTAACTTTCCAGTCAGTTCTAATGACTAAAATCAGCCTAATCTTATATCTTCACCTCAAACTTGGTTTAAACCCCATCATCTCCCCCTCCATCCAGCACAGGCTTAGGCTGGGACCTGACTCCTTGGAGGAGACAGGGAGAACAGTTGTCCCTGACACCTTTTCTTCATTCCCACTTCAAGTCCTAGTTTCCCCAAGTACTGGGGCTCAGAGGAAGGGCAGGTATGGGGCCAAGTGACTCTTGACCAAACTGGCCACAGCTATGGCCTCTTGTTGGCTGAAACTGGTCCCTCTGGCTAACTCAGGCTAGCCCTCTGTGTGGCAGGTGTCCAAAGACAGGCTTTCTCATGGAGCAAACAGTGTGAGACGGGCCTGGTCAGACTTTCTCAACTCCTCTGTTTCTTGACATGAAAGTGCACCCTCCTCCCACACTGTAAGGGCTAAAACCCTCCTGTGTGTTCCTCTTTTACTCTCACACTGCTATCATACTTCATGTCACCTGTGACCTCAGATGTGTGGTTTTTCCACACATCAAGAGCTTCTCTAACACCAGCTGGGTGTCCTATGATTGACCTCAATTCTGACACTATCTACCTCGAGATAGCATCAGAACCCACAGGTGAAGGGTTCAGTCCTACAAGACTGCCCCTCTCCCAACTTCAGACGCCAGTCACAAGTCCGTTTGTCCTTTGTGTTCTGACCGATTCGCAATAGATTGGGAGGTTCCCATGACCCCCTCCTTGGGTTTGATAATTTGATAATGGCTCACAGAATTCAGGGAAACCCTTACTTACACTTGCTGGTTTATTATAAAGAGATGTTTTAGGGGAACAGCCAGATGGAAGAGACACCTAGGGCAAGGTGTGAGGAAGGGGTGAAGAACCTCCATGCGATCATCAGATGTATCCCCCTCTCAGCACCTTCACCTGTTCACCAATCCAGAAGCTCTATAAACCCCGTAGTTTGGGATTTTTAGGGAGGCTTCATCATGCAGGCAGGATGGACCATTAACTCCATTTCCAGCCTCTGTCACTTTCCCAAAGGGGAGAAAAGCCCAGGTTTCTAATCATTGCTTGGTCTTTTTGGTGACCAGCCCCCATCCAGGAGCCCACCAAGAATCACCTCATTAGAACAAAATACATTCCTATCACTCAGGAAATTATAAGGGTTTCAGGAGCTCTGTGCCAAGAACCTGGTGTGTGTGTGTGTGTGTCTATATATATACATATATACTATATTTTCTATTATTTTACACACATCTTCTCCAATTCCATCACTAGCACACGTCACTTGGCCTCCTGCTGCCTTCTTGGGTGAGATGCCCTCCTGGGTGCCCCCTCCACTCCCACACCCTAACCCTGCTGGACTGTGGGGTGCGGGCTGCACCTCCTCTGCCCCCACTTCAGACACAGCCGCGAGCTCAGAGACCCCAGACCACCAACACTTCTGACCGACTGGCTACAAATTCAGGGGTTCCCACCACCTCCCTGGGTTCAGTCATTCGCTACAATGACTCACAGGACTCAGGAAAGCGCTGTACGTGACTCCAGCTTTATTATCAAGGGTAAAAATCAGGACGAGCCGACAGATAAGGCGCGTAGAGGGAGGTCAGGGAGGGTCCCAAACGCACAGCTCTGCGTCGCGACGCTCGGTCTTCCCGGCACGCAGGTGCGTCACCAGCCGGGAAGCTCGCCCTGCCCCCCGCCCCCGCCGAGGCTTGGGGGCGTTTTTATCGGGTTTCCCGGAAGTGGGGGGAAGGGGCCTTAAGGGACCCCGGGGCCCTGTGGGCTGGGGAGGCCCTGAGCCGAATCTTGCGTCTCTGGCTGTCCGAAGCCTGCGGGCAGCGCTGAAAGGAAGGGCTGGTTCTAAGGCGGGGGAGGGGCAGTGGGGCTCCCTGGGCGGGACTCCCCTCAGCCCGGGGCCCCGTCCTCTCCAAGCTCCCCTCGGGTCTCTAGGCCTCGGCTGGATGTCACCGGGCGCGGCCGAGGAGACCCTCCCGGAGCGCGGGCACCTGCCACCAAGAGAAGCCAAAAGCAAAAGCACGAAAAAGGTGCACAAAGAGAACAGCCAATCAGAGGGTGAGAAAGAAGCTCGGGCTCAGACACGTAGCCAATCAAAGAGCGAGAGAGGAAGGGAGGGGACTTGGACGCAACTCAAGCTCATCCTCCAATCAGAGCAGAGGATGAGGTCTCGCGCTGCCTCTCAAAACAAGAAGTGGGCGGAGGCTAAAGAGGTGCCCAGCGAATCGGAAGCTCTACTTCCCCAGGCCCAGGAATTGATTGGCCACTTTTCAGAACTGGTCTGTCAATTTTGAAAGCCGGGCGAAAGGCCCTTCTTTAGATCCCGCCCCCTCCCTCCGAGCGTGGGCGGGGAGCCCTAAAGGGCCGGGTCCGCGGCCCGGGAGGAATCGGACCGTAATCGCGGCCGTAGCGGGAACCTAACAACGGAGCCGGGAGCAATCCCCTTATGCCCGGTGTGAGCAGTAAGCGCTGTCTCGCAAAACAACAAAACGTTGACTCATATAAGTGGACCCACGCAGTACAGATCCGTGCTGTTCAAGGGGCACCCGTACCTCTCAAATTCATGCCCATCTTCCCATGCCCACCACCTTGGTGTCACTGCCACCCCCCGCCTGGGCCAGAGCAGCTTCCTCCCGGGGCTTCCATGCGCCCACTCTTGCTTTCCGCTACAACCCAATCTCCAAAGCGAAGGCACAGTGCTCTTCTTAAGCCACAGCTCAAATTATGTCACACCTCTACTTTCAAACGTTCAAAGTCATCTGAATGTTCTAGAAGTTAAAAAAAAAAATGTCTAAAGTCTTTACTGTAGCCTACAAGGTCCTTTGCAGTCTGGCTTCTACTTGTGTCTCCATTGAAAGCACAGACTCTGCAGCCAGGCTGCCCCAGGTTCGAGTCCCTGCTGTGCGGCTTACTGGCCCCATGACCTTAGGCAACTTTCTCAAACTCCCTGAGGCACAGTTTGGTCCTCTCTGAAATGAGAATCTAATGAGTTGGAATTATTAATTGAGGTCGATCTCTGTTTTATAAAATAGCTACTGGTATTCCTCCAAACTGTCAAGATTG